TTCTTCTTCTTCTTCTTCTTCTTCTTCTTCTTCTTCTTCTTCTTCTTTTTTAAAGGGGTCATTTCTGGAATAAGGTGGATTTAAATTCAAAACAATAAATTTTTTTTTTTTTTTTTTTTCCCTCCTCCTAAGATCTCTAGGATTAAAGCAAAGAAATTGGCATCAGCCAGGTGGTGGCAGCACATGCCTTTAATCCCAGCACTCAGGAGGCAAAGGCAAGTGTATCTCTGAGTTCAAGGCTAGCCTGGTGTACAGAGCAAGTTTCAGGACAGCCAGGCCTACACAGAGATACCCTGTCTCAAAAAAAAACAGAACAAAACAAAAAGTCTTTCCTTCAGATCATTCCCAGGGATTTAGAGTCTATTTGTTATAGATCTTGGATTCTATTTCATGGACCTGGCTTTTCTTTTGTCAAAAGGAACATTATGCACATGTGCTCTCTATAATTCTTGCTCTAGCTGTACCACTTTCTTAATTCCTACATACAGGTTCCTTTTTATACATGTGCTCATTCCTCTTCTCTATGTCTCTGTTTATCTCTCTTACACACACACACACACACACTTTCACAGGCCCAGGCTTAAATCTGCCTGGTAGTTCAGTCAGAATATAGACACCCCTAGTTTTAAGGACTCTTAAGTTTATTAATAGTTTAGAAATAGTTGATAAAAGTAAGAATTACTCACTATTCATTTTATTTGACCTTCCTGACTTTTACCCTGGATTAGTATCCAAAGCAGAATCTTTAACAAACTAGACTAATAGACTAATGGATGAGAGAGAAGGAAAGAATAGTTAATGCCTTACATGTGTTTCTTTATTTTGATAGTCTTGTCCCAGAACTCTTTTAAAAAAAAAAAGACAGCAACAAAATCCCATTAAATAAACAAAAAACCTGAAGTAATTATCTTGGTAATAATTATTTTAAAACCCCTATAAAAATTCACATAAACTCCTTAGTGATCCTGAAAGAGACTTCTTTGGACGCTACGTGTAGATTTGGAGAAATGTTATAGTGTATCTCTGAGTTCAACCTTACATTCTTCAGGAGGGATGGTGTGGATGAATGGGAACATGTGAATGAAATACTAGATAGATTGTTCATGTCCCAAACTAAGCTCTTTAAGCACATCCTTCATAGACACAATTTTACACCGCTTTGACAAGCTGATGATGCTGTTTAATTATATTTATTCAAAAGTCAGAATATGGGATTGATCATGTAGCCCAAAATACAGTGCCTACTTAACCTGTGTAAGGTGCTAGAATCAGTTCCAAATATTGCCCCTCAAAAAAGTCTTATAGCCCTGAAAACCCAATCATTTTATTTAATTTTATTTGTGGATAGTGAACTTACAAAATAAAATACATTACACTTGGTGGACACTGAATATAATGACATCTCTTTCCCCACAGGGTGTTCTGTAAGAATGAACTAAGGAGACGCATAATCTCTTTCTCTCTTTTTTTAATTAATTAATTTATTTTATGCACTTTGAGTACACTGCAGCTGTCTTCAGACACACCAGAAGAGGGCATCAGATGCCATTACAGATGGTTGTGAGCCACCATGTGGTTGCTGCGAATTGAACTCAGGACCTCTGGAAGAGCAGTCAGTTCTCTTAACCACTGAACCATCTATCCAGCTCCCATGATCTCTTTGATATGAATAAAAACAAGACCACTGGAGACGTGGCTCATTGGTTAAGAGTTCTTGTTGCCCTTGTTGAGGACCTGGGTTGAGTACCTAGCACCCATATCATTTGTAACTCATAACCATCTGTACCTCCAGTTTTAGGAGTTAAGCTCCTTTTGACCTCCGAGGCCACCAGGCATATATGTGGTAAACACATATGTGTATGTAGGCAACACTTGTGCACACAGAATAAAATAAATCTTTAAAAGAAAACAAAAGAATAAAAAGAAAAATATGGAAGGTGAAGTTTGTAACATGAGACCTTCTGTCTTTGTGGCTTCAGTACCACTAATGGGGCAAATTCTTAAATTTCTGAAGTAACATATATGTTACTTATCAAATATTAAGTAAAGTGAAACTAGTACAACTACTGCTTTAGAATGGTAGAGAATCAACTTTTTCTTCTGCTATCCTGAGACTTGAACCTGCAGTCTCCATTCCTGAGATCCCAGATCTACATCACACCCAGGTAGACTTCTTTGTTTTATTATTGGGATAAGAATTGAGAGCTTTAACCCAGGCCATGGTGGTGCATATTTAAGGCCAGCCAGGGCTACAAATAAAAACAAAAAAAAACCAAACCAAGGAAACAAAAGAATTGGGAGTTTTATAGCTTCTGGGAATAAAGCCAGACTGAAGGGTGTAATTGGTGTTCAGTTTGTAATAGTCTTCCAGCAGGTAAAAGTTTTATACCTTCAAGCTTCAAGTTAGTGCTTTAAAAAATGTTGGATTCCAGGCATTGTGACACATGTCTTTAGTTCAGCACCTGGGCGTTAGAGGGTAGGCAGATCTCTGAGTTCGAGGCCAGCCTGGTCTAGAGGGTGAGTCTAGGTCAGCCAGGGCTACATGGAGAAACCCTGTCTCAAAAAAATAAAATAAGCAAACTGAGACTTGACTTGGGCTTTGCCTTATCTATGTTATCTATCTAATAATGTGTATCTGATTGTATCTAAGCATAAAATATTGTCTAGTGTTGCTTGCTAGTGTAAGTTACTGATAATGTTATATAATTCCAAATGTTCATTAAGAAATATCTCTGCCCATTGGTAAGCAGTCTCAGCAATGGAGGTTCAGGGAGGAATGGTTAGAAACTAGCTTTTTATAGAATGTGCTTACTTAGCCAAGACCAGAATTTCTCATAAAGCCATTGATTGGTGGTATAATAAATACTGATGAATCAATGAGGGAATTTCCAGACCTCAGAATTGCTCACCTAGGGTAATCTTAATTTGAAAGGGTAAAGGAACATAGAGATGACAAATAAAAAGAAACATGAACACGTTTCAATTTAGGCACTTTATTTTATCTAGAGAACAAAAAGCTCTTTTCTCCCTCTAGTGGCATTTTTGTTTTCTGTAACTTTTCTTCTCAGCTTGCTGTCTTACTTGTTGCTACAGTGCAATCCAGACACATTTACTAGTCCACAAAGTAGTTATTCTCCTTACTCCCTCTCTTTTTTCTGTTTTTGTTTTTTCAGCTAAACATGTTAGTAACTCAGATTTGCCCTTTTGAGAAAGTAGAGACTTATCTCACCAGGGGGCTACTTTGTTCAAAAGACTTTTTCAGGTGCAACTCAGAATGGTGATTGTACTTGATGTGAGTTCAAGGTTCGTCTGGGCCACAGGGACCAGCAAGATGGCCCAGTGAGTAAAGTCACTGGCCTCTAAGGCCTAAGTTTAATTCCTAGAACTCACATGTCAGGAGACAAGAACTGACTCCATAAACTTGTCCTTTGACTACCACAACTGTACCCTGGCACATACATACCTGCATTTACAGACACTAAATTAATTAAAATTAAAAGCATAAAAAAAGCTTGGGACTAGAAATTTTGATAAGTGGTAGACTACTTACCTAGCATGCATGGAGTCCTAGGTTGATTCCGAATAACACAACAAACATGTACAAATACTTTTGTGTCCCAAAAGGACCTGAGACCAAAAAAAAAAAACCACGAGAAAATAGTGGATAAGTATGTTGTACAAAGTGATGACCTTTGAGATTTGGGGTTTTTGTTTTGTTTTTCGAGACAAGGTTTCTCTGTATAGCCCCGGCTGTCCTGGAACTCACTCTGTAGACCAGGCTGGCCTCGAACTCAGAAATCCGCCTGCCTCTGCCTCCCAATTGCTGGGATTAAAGGCATGCGCCACCACCACCCGGCAAGATTTTGGGTTTTAAGTTCCATCTCTAAGACATACAAACACACCAACCTAACTGAGACTTACATACTCCCAACTATTCTATCTCAAAAAGCTGTAGCTGTAGCTCAGTCATAGAAGGCATGCTTACTTAGGTATCTGTGAAGCCTTGAGTTCTGTCCCCTGTACTACAAAAGAAAGGGGAAAAATAATTTTAGCCAGGCGTAGTGCTGCCTGAGATCATAGTGCTTGGGAAATAGAGACAGGGAGATCTGAATTTCCAGGTTAACCAATTGCATGAGACCCTGTCTCACAAACATTTAAAAATCAAAAGAGGTGGGAGATACATTTGTTGTTTTGGGAATCTAAGAAATTATAATTTTCAGGATTCTTTATATTTGAGCTGCAGAAATATAAAACAAGGGTTACCAAATGAATAGATTTGGAAGTAAGAAAAGTCAATGTGAGGAAAAAAGAAAGAAAAGAAAAGTCCAAGTGAAGGATATTAGATGTCAAAATAGTTTCTGGTGGGGGTTAAGAGATGGCTCAGTGGTTAAGAGCCACTAACTGCTCTTCCAGAGGTCCTGAGTTCAAGTCCCAGCAACCACATGGTGGCTCACAACCATCTCTAATGTTATCCGATCCCCTCTTCTGGTGTGTCTGAAGAGAATGACAGTGTACTCACATGCATAAATAAATCTTAAAAAAAAAAAAATAGTTCCTGGATAGTTTCTCTTCAGCAAAGGTACTAGATGCTCTGATAGTGTGTCTTTGGTTTAATCCTTTTCTTCCAGGAGCCTATATACTTTATAATTGGTACTGTCCACACTATCCTTTGCATCTCTGTGATTCACTCTTGACTAGATACAATGTCACTTAACTAGAACCATGTTATTACTGTTAGAGTCAGCTGCTTCCTTTTTGTCGATCAGTAGTACTCAAGTAGAGTACTACATTCTACTGGCTTTGTCCTTTCTTGAAGTCTCTAAATAACTAATAATTAATGACAGCTCAATGTTGTGATAATAGGGAAAACAGTTATAAATTAAAATATGATATTAGAGTACTTATCTTAATTTTTAATTTAATTTTTAAGGCTGCCCTGGAACTTCCTATGTAGACTAGACTGACATTGAGTTCTGGGATTAAAGGTGTGAGCCAACACACCAAATCTCTCTTTCTCTCTTTTTCCCCCACCCTTTTTTGTCCTTTTCGGGCCCCCCCCGACTCTTGTTTTATTCTTATTTTTATGTGTATGAGTGTTTAGCTTGCATCAATATCTGTCTATCTTGTGCATACAGTGGTGGCCAGAAGGGAATGTCAGATTCTCTAGGACTGGAATTACAGATTCTTGTGAGCCACCATGTTGGTGCTGAGAATTAAACCTGAGTCCTCTAGAATGGTAGCCAGTGCTCTTATTCAGCCATCTCTTTGGCCCCTCTTTAATTCCCTCCCCCCCCCCAATTTTAAAATATTACTATTTTATGGGTATGAGTATTTTGCCTACTCATACCCATACTTCCTCGGTCTGACTCACTGGCCTTTTTTTGAAGGCCAAAAAGGACACCATGTCTCATGGAATTGGAATTACAGACAATTGTGAGCAGTTTTGAGTCCTGAGAACTAAATCTGAGTCATGTGGAAGAGCCAACTTCAAGCCAGTTCTCTAGCTGCATCCCCCCTTTAATCCCCAATTCTTAAAGCTTTTCATCACTTTATATTTTTGTCCCTGCATATCCTTACAGATTTTAGATTAGAAAAATATTTTGCTGGGTTGCAGAGATGGCTCAGAAGTTGAGACCATTCTCTGCTCTTGCAGAGGTCTTGAGTTCAATTCCCAGCAACTACATGGTAGCTCATAACCATCTGTAATGAGATCTGGTGCTCTCTTCTGGCATGCAGGTGTACATGCAGGCAGAATGCTATATACATAATAAATAAATCTTTTTTTTAAAAAAAATTTTGCTAATTTTTTTCCATTATTCACATCTTGGTGTCTTTATTCTAGAACTTGTCTTTATCTTTGTCTTGCTGAATCAGGACAGACTTAGGTTCCCTTGGAATTTTTTGTTCATTATAGTGAAGATATTTTTTTTAACCTTTTAAGGAACTGTCACTGTTGGAAATACTGTAATTTCTACTTTTCTCGTCCAGTGAGCCAGACCGAGGAAGGCTAACTCCTTCCCCAGACATAATTGTTTTGTCTGATAATGAGGCTTCCAGTCCCCGATCCAGCTCCCGGATGGAAGAGAGACTCAAAGCAGCCAACCTAGAGATGTTTAAGGTAAAAAAAGAAAACAAGTGCCTCTCTTTTCTCTTCTCTTCTCTTCTCTTCTCTTCTCTTCTCTTCTCTTCTCTTCTCTTCTCTTCTCTTCTCTATCTATCTAATGTTACTTCCATTTTCTTAATTCCCTGGTTTGGTTTTGTGTTTTTGTTTTGATTTGCTTTTCGGATGTAAATAATTGCCTATCGGATAAACTCTTCACAGTGTGACCTTTGAAAGGCAGCTGTTCAACCAAACAGGAAAGCTAGTTTGCTAAAGCATGTATATAAACAATCCTATTCAATATAATTCATCTTTAGAAAGTTAAATAGAACTTTGTAATTTAAGTCACATAAAGTAAATCCTTAGGTATGCTGATTCCCTTTACATTATCCAGAATATAGAAGAATTCTTACTTATTTTTATATATCTACATCAAACGTGATTTTAAAGATTTAGAGTCTATTTTAAAATAAAGTATTGTTTCCTTTTTGTCAGTCATGTTTTTGCTAGAAATACACTGATTGACCTTTATATATAGTCACAAGTACTTTTTGAGTACCTACCTCCTGAATGCTGCTCTGCATGGGCTACAAAGATATAGTTATATCTTCACTTCTGCTTGTAGAAGAAGGTTTCAGAAGAGAAATACAGATCATTTCTTGCAAGAAGGGTTTCTGGTTACCTGCTGCTGTTGCTGACCTACAATCTCCATGTGTCTTTAGGGGAAAGGCATTGAGGAACGGCAGCAGCTTATCAAGCAACTGAGGGATGAGTTACGATTGGAAGAAGCTCGTCTGGTGCTGTTAAAGAAGCTGAGACAGAGTCAGCTACAGAAAGAGAATGTGGTCCAAAAGGTATTTCTAGAAAGGAGAAAAAGTCTAGTTTGAGATGGTATTACCTTAGGTAGAGTTAGTTAGCTTTGTGGACTATTCTCTGGTTCTGTGGATTGGGGTTTTTAGTTGTTTGTTTGTCTTGTTTTTTTGTTTGTTTGTTTAAAGTCCCTACAGGTAGGGAGATTAAAAAGTGGTAGTTCTGTTCTGTTTTATCCTTTGGCATTAATCAAGAAAAACCCTAGTTTAGCGTAGCGATGTGTATCTGTGATGCCAGGTAGAATTAGAATCAAGAGTTTTAAGTTCAGGGGGCTGGAGAGACAGCTCAGCAGTTGAGCCCAGTTACTACTCTTATACAGAGGCTGCCTTTGATTCCCAGCACCTACATGGCAGCTCACAACCAGCTGTTAGTACAGTTCCAAGGAATTTGATGCCTTCTTCTGGTCCTTTGCAGCCACCAGGCACAGACATGATACACAGACATAAATGAAGGCAAACAGTCATATACAAAAAATGCTTCTTTTTTATAAAGGACTTAAACAGACCATGTGAGACCCTGTCTGAAAAGACAGACAGATAAGGCCTGGCATAGTGACACATACCTTTAATCCTAGCACTTAGAATACAGAGCTGATGGATCTCTGAGGCTAGCTGGGTCTACAGGTCAGCCCAGGCTATACATAACAAGACCCAGTCTCAAAGAAACAAAAAAAAGAAAAAATCCAAAAAGGCTTAATTTCATTTTTATCTTGTTTCTTCCTTGTCAAGAACTTGACATTCATTTGTTATTTATACTTACAAGGAAATTTTAAAAGCCTAGAACTTAACTGAATTTGACCTCTAGGGTTTTTGGTTTTGGTTTAGTGTTTTTGTTTCGTTTTGTTTTTTGAGACAGAGTTTCCCTGTGTAACACTGGCTGTCCTGGAACTCACTCTGTAAACCAGGCTGGCCTCAAACTCAGTGATCCTGCTGCCTCTGCTTTCCAAGTGCTGGGGTTAAAGGTGTGTGCCACCACAGTCAAGCTCACAGTCTCATTTTCTGTTTCCCCTTCCAGACTCCAGTTGTACAGAATGCAGCATCTATTGTTCAGCCATCTCCTGCACATGTGGGACAACAAGGCTTATCTAAGCTTCCCTCCCGGCCTGGGGCTCAAGGGATTGAACCTCAGAATTTGAGAACATTACAGGTATGTGAACCATAGTAGGATCTTACTATTAGAGAAGTCTGTCACTCTTGTCTTTATTTGGGGATTTTTGTAAAGATTGTAGAAGGGTAAGAGGCCAGCAGCTTTATCTACATAATGAGTTCCAGGACAGCCCCGGCTATGTAGATAAAGAGACCCTGGGGGGCAGGGCAGGAGGGGGGGAGAAGAAGAAGGGGGGAGAGAGAGAGGGAGGGAGAGAGAGATCCAACATTCTTCTGGCCTCTTTAGGCATGGCATTCACATGCATTTATGTACACAAACAATAAAATCTTTTTTAAAAAAAGTCAGAGCCGGGTGGTGGTGACGCACGCCTTTAATCCCAGCACTTGGGAGGCAGAGGCAGGCGGATTTCTGAATTCGAGGCCAGCCTGGTCTACTGAGTGAGTTCCAGGACAGCCAGGGCTACACAGAGAAACCCTGTCTCGAAAAAACAAAAAACAAAAACAAAAAAAAACAAATAATAATAATAATATAATAATAATAATAAATAAAATAAAAAAAGTTGGAGCTGGAGAGATGGCTTAGTGGCTAAGAGAGAGGACTGGTTGCTCTCCCATTAGACCTGGATTTAATTACTAGCACCTGCAAGAACCTCACTTCTTTATGTAACTCCAGCCTCAAGAGAACTAATGCCCTTTTGGCCTCTGAAGGCACCAGGTATGCATATAATGCATAGACCATATATGTAGGCAAAACACCAATACACATTTAAAAAAATAAAATGAAACATTTTTTTAAGAACGTCCTAGCCACTAATCAGCATTTAGAGTAATGTTCGAGGGCCTGGAAAGATGCATCAGACAGTAAGAGCACTTGCTGCTCTTGCAGAGGACCTGCGTTCTATTCCTAATACCCGTGTGGTAGCTCAAAACCATCTGTAAGGGTAGTTGCAGGGAAGCTGACATCTTCTTCAGATAGTGCACCCATGTGGTGCACACACATACATGGAGGTAAAATACTCATCCATGTAAAATAAGTAAAATCTAAAAATGTTTTGACTAGAGTGATTGTAGATTTCTCCCGTTGATTGTTAAATGAAATTATCAAGTATGTGCCCATGGTTCTAGTGGGGACCGTTATAAGCAGTGCTTCCATTTTGCATTTTATGGGGTATTATGCCATCTATAAGTTCTTTTCCTGTTCTTCCCCTTTAGGGTCACAGTGTCATCCGTTCAGCAACCAACACGACCCTTCCACACATGTTGATGTCTCAACGTGTTATTGCACCAAATCCAGCCCAACTTCAGGGCCAGCGGGGGCCACCGAAGCCTGGCATTGTACGCACCACAACACCTAACATGAATCCTGCCATCAGTTACCAACCAGTAAGAGCGAGCACCGGGGTAGAAACTGAAAAGTCCTTTATTTGCTTTTCTTATTGAAAGAGCTACAGGTTTTAAGTTTCTGTATATAGAGAAACTAGGACAAGAGTGATTTGAATAGAGAGCATTCCCGAGAATGGATGCTTTAAGGAAGTGGATAACAATGGGGATAGAAAAAGTAGTATATTGTAGAGCAAAGCTAAACTAGCTAAAATCTACCTTAAAAAAAGAGAGATATCTTAATATAGGGATGAGAGTGGGATGAAAGTGATAGAAATTTAATACTCAAGTATTCACAAAATTCTCAAAAACAAATGTACGTTTGAAAAAGAGAAGATGGAAAGGACGTGTGTGATAAGAAGCATAGGTATGTGCCTGAAAACATCCCTCATCTTTTCTTTCTCAAATAGCTTTAGCTCATGGGTGCAAACTTCTTTTTTCTTATGTACCAGGGTTATCTTTTAGTGCTAAGTTAAATGTTTCCTATTGTGAAGAAGCTAAACAGTTCAGACTAAGATCAAATGTGACCTCTCTTAGAAATGAAGATGCTGTCCTGCTTATCAGCCACCTGTCCCCATTCCCTTTCAGCAGTCAAGTTCTTCTGTTCCCTGTCAGCGCACAACGTCTTCTGCCATCTACATGAACCTTGCCTCCCATATTCAGCCAGGGACTGTGAACAGAGTGTCCTCACCACTTCCTAGCCCTAGTGCCATCAGTGATGCCGCCAACTCACAGGCTGCTGCGAAATTGGCTCTTCGAAAACAGCTGGAAAAGACGCTCCTGGAGATACCACCTCCTAAACCTCCTGCTCCCTTGCTCCACTTCCTGCCTAGTGCAGCCAATAGCGAGTTTATCTACATGGTAGGCTTGGAAGAAGTAGTACAGAGTGTCATTGACAGCCAAGGTAACACTTCTTTCTAATTAAGTCTCTAAGCACGGGGTTGCCAAGCCTCTTGGCAGAGAACAAGTATTACAGGGAACTGTATAGTATTAAATAACTGCTCTTAATCCGGGCCTGATGGCTCATTACTTGTAAGTCAACCACTTCGTAGGCATAGGCAGGACTGCTCCAAGTTCAAGGCCAACCTGGGCTATATAGTAAAGTAAAAGCCAACTTAGAGTATAGACTGAGCCCCCTGTCTTGAAATCTTCAAAGCTGCCCATACACACAAAAATAAGAAAAATCTTAAAATGAAAGAGTAGAGTCTAGAGATGTAGTTCATTTGGTAGACTGCTTGCTTATCTAGAAGGTAAAGGTAAGAAGATTACAAGTTCAAGGGTATCCTCAGATAATATCCATAATCAATTTCTAGATCACTCTGGAATATATAACATCCTATCCAAAAAGACAAAAAGTGAAGAGATGGAAGGAGGATAATACATGTTTTGTTTTTCAATATATTTCTTTTTTTTTTTTAAGAGAGAGAGTGAGTTTGTTCTGGCTCACATTTTAGGGGTGTAACTCACCTTAGCAGTGAGTCAGAGGCATTAGGCGCTTGAAGGAACTGGTCAGATCACACCACACGCAGGAAACGGAATGATGGATATATCTTATTTAGTTCCTTTTTTTGTTTGTTTTGTTTTTTTGTTTTTGTTGAGACAGGGTCTCACCATATAATTCTGGCTACTCTGGAGCTCGCTGTGTATATACCAAGCTGCCCTTGAACCCACAAGGGATCTGCCCTGCTTGGACTCTACAGAGTGCTGCAGTGAAAGGCACATTCTGCAGTGCCTGTTCTTTAGATAAATAGAATTTCTGGTTTATGACTTTGTGTGGAGTTATTATATTCAGCCCCTATCCTTTAATGTTTATAGTGGAAATGTGTAGTGTGTGTGTGTGTGTGTGTGTGTGTGTGTGTCTGTGTAAATAACTTAAGCATCATTGCGTGAGCATTGTAACCAAGTACTCAACCAGATTCTGACACTATGCAGTGTGATCCCAATAGTCATCATTAAGCTTAAATTTCCAAACAATATCAGAAAGTCCCTAGAGGACTGACTAAACATTTAGCTGTAAACAGATCATGGGGTGCCTTAATTTCAGCCAGGTAAGGTAGCTTATGCCTATAATTCCAGCACTTGGAATACTAAGGCAAAAATGTTATGATTTGGAGGCTAGCCTGAGCTACAGTGTAAAATCTTGTCTCAGAAAAATCTTTATAAAACAACTATTCAGACCCTGATAACATAGTATTATAAATGTGTGTGTGTAAAGGGAAAGTGTAATGTTAAGAAACAGAAAGGAGAGCCGGGCATTGGTGGCGCACGCCTTTAATCCCAGCACTTGGGAGGCAGAGGCAGGCGGATTTCTGAGTTCAAGAGTTTGAGGCTAGCCTGGTCTACAGAGTGAGTTCCAGGACAGCCAGGGCTACACAGAGAAACCCTGTCTCGGAGGAAAAAAAAAAAAGAAGAAGAAGAAAGAAAGAAACAGAAAGGGGGGGCTGGAAAGATGGCTCAGAGTTCTAACTGATCTTTCAGAGGACCCACGTGCTAGCTCACAAGTATCTGTAACACCAGTTCCAGAGGCTCTGACACCTTCACACAGACATATATGCAGGCAAAATACCAATGCACATGAAATGAAAATTAAAATTAAAAAAAAAAAAAAGAGGGCCAGGTCTGGTGGTGCATGCCAGCACTTGGGAGGAAGCAGATGAATCTCTGAAGCCTGGTCTACAGAGTAGTTCCAGAACAGCCAGGAATACACAGAGAAGCCCTGTCTCAAAAAAAAAAAAAATAAACAAAGATAAATAAATAAACAGAAAGCATTAGCCGGGCAGTGGTGGTGCACGCCTTTAATCCCAACACTTGGGAGGCAGAGGCAGGTGGATTTCTGAGTTCAAGGCCAGCCTGGTCTACAGAGTGAGTTCCAGGACAGCCATGGCTACACAGAGAGACCCTGTCTCGAACCCCTCCCCCCCCAAAAAAAAAAGCATTATTTAAGTAGATCTCTTTGATTCTAAATTTATTATTATGAGATTTTTGTAACACCATGTAACCGGGTAGGGCTCAGCCTTACTTACCTTAAGCTCAGGCACCTCCTTCCCTAGCTTCCCAACTACTCTGATTATCAAGCCAAAGTATTTATTAAATTGTATTGAAAAAAAGTTTTTAAGGCCATTCAAGGTGGTGCATGCCTTTAATCCTAGCATTAGGAAGGCAAAGGCAAGAAAAACAGCCTGCTGTATGTACTGAGTTCTAGGGCAGCCTAATCTACATAGTGAGACTGTATCTTAAAACAAGATAATACATATATAAATTTTAGATTCACTTATTTAAATTGTATGAATATTTTTGCCTTCATGTATGTATATCTACTACGTTTTCCTGTTGCCCTGAGATAATCTTTCAGAAGAGTGCATCAAAGTCTCTGAACTGCAGTTATGGTGGGTTGTGAGCTACTGTATGTGTTTGGTACACAAAGCCAAACTCCAGTCCTCTGTAAGGGCAACAAAGTGCTTTTTAAACTAACTACTGAAGTATTCTAGTCCCCTGAATTGTTTTTGGTTGGTTGGTTTGGTTTTGTATAGTTTCTTGTTTTAAATGTGTTAATTTTTAATTTTGTTGGTAGGGAGAAGGAATGGGAGGTTGCCAAAAATGTGGCATGTTGTTGCCATTATTAAGTCAGGACAGCTTTGTGAAGTTATTTTTTTCCTTCCACCTTACATGGGTTTCAGAGATGGAATTTTAGGCTTGCACATGCTCAGCTATTTCACCAACCTTGTGTTGTCTGTAAGTTAGCAGAATTAACTTGTGGGAAAGACACTTAGAGACCACTAACTATTCTTTTTATTGGTGTCTAGGCAAAAACTGTGCCTCACTTCTGAGGGTCGAACCTTTTGTATGTGCCCAGTGCCGCACAGATTTCACCCCTCACTGGAAGCAAGAAAAGAATGGTAAAATCCTCTGTGAGCAGTGTATGACTTCCAACCAGAAAAAGGCTCTAAAAGCTGAACACACTAACCGGCTGAAAAACGCTTTCGTTAAAGCCCTACAGCAGGAACAGGTGAGACCTCTGACTTCTACCTGCACAGTCATCTGAACAGGCTTGGTTTTCCCAAAGGGTTTTGGGCCTGGAAACCTAGTTTCCTTAGAGAGAGGGAAGGGGAGAGGGAAAGAGACGGGGGGAGGGGGGGATTGAGAGAGAGGGAGAGAGGAGAAAAGAAAAAAACCAGGGTGTGGTGGTGTATGCCTTCGATTCCAGCACTCTGGAGGCAGAGGCAAGCTGATGTCTTTGAGTTGGAAGCCAGACTGGTCTGCAGACTTTCAGGCCAGCCTCAACTAGTAAATGACACCTAGTCCAAAAAACAAAACAATATAATCCTTTTTGTTCCTCTGTCCTGTTTATATCATTTGGTTGTTTTTGGTTGGCTGATAATATGATACCATGTATGAATGACTGAGATTAAAGGACAGAAAGAAGGCTTGGAATGTGATTGTTTTCCATGGCTGTGAAGAAAGTTCCACCATTAGCTCTAAATGGCCTGGAACTTTTGATTCTCCGATCTTTGCCTCTTGAGAGCGGGTATTACTGGAGTGCGCCACAACATCCAGGTCCTCTATTCTCTTTTGGTCAGACAAATGGATTTTGCTGAAAGGAGTTTGCTGCAAACTTTTAATTATGCAATCTATAGTTAAATGGCAAACAAAAGAATAAATGATAAAAGTACCCAGTGAAGATTAGTGGCAATAGAAGTGTGTGAGCACTTCCTAATAGTATCTTCAAAGTAAAAGGTGTGATAAAATGCTCAGGTCCTCTTCTCTGTTCCATTTCTGACTCCACTAACCATCAGAGTCCTCTAAGTAGGTAGCATCATGAGCCTTATGGAAAATAGGTAAGCAGAAATCAAAAATAAGATACTACTTTAATGGTAGAGCACTTGCTTCCCATATCTGAGGCTCTGGTTTCAATCTCCAGCACTGTATGGTAGTTACCCCCGTCCCTCCCTCCCTCCCTCCCTCCCTC